AAAAAAAGGAGGTAACGTGTTTCACAGTGTGCGCCCCACCCAGTGTGCGCCCCACGAAATCCTAGTACCTCACTTCGCAATAATAACGCGTGATGTCTCAACAACGCCAAACTCCTAAGACCTATACTGAAGCTGACGTTACTATTGCTATCTCTGATCTCCAAAAACGCGAAAACTTAAGCCTAAGGCGCGCTGAATTAATCTATAGTGTGCCAAGACGGACGATACAAAGGCGACGTAATGGAAAGCCCTGTCGACGCGACTACGAACCACCAACTAAGCGCCTAACAAAACTAGAAGAGGAGGCCATTACTCAACGTGTAATAGTTGAGGCTGAGCGAGGACTACCCTGTGGGAGAGACGACGTGCGAGATATGGCTAATAGACTGCTCCGAGAGCGCGGTGGAGAGGAGGTTGGCAAGAACTGGGTTGATAGGTTTGTCCAGCGCAATCCTGAGCTGCGTACGCGCCGGAGTCGTCCATATGATCGTCAGCGAGCTGCCTGCGAAGATCCAGCGCTTATTAAGGGCTGGTTCGAGCTGGTTCAGAATACGAAGGCGAAGTACGGTATCGTGGACGAAGATATCTACAACTTTGATGAGACTGGCTTTATTATGGGCAAGATTTTATCACAGTCAGTTATCACGGGCTCAGACAAACCAGGAAGAACAAAGCAGATCCAGCCAGGTAATCGTGAGTGGGTTACGCTGATACAGGGCGTTGGCGCAACAGGCAAGCGTATCCCAGCGTTTCTCATCTTCGCAGGCAAGGTTCTGATCTCTACCTGGTTCACGGAGGATCTGCCACGCGACTGGGTAATACAAGTTAGTCCTACTGGCTGGACGAACAACGATCTAGCGCTTGACTGGCTTCGTCACTTCGATTCCCATGCGCGGCCTGTAGGGACGCATAGGCTGCTCATTATTGACGGCCATGAGAGCCACTGCTCGGTGGATTTCCGAGATCTCTGCGAAGAGATGAAGATAATCCTCCTCTGTATGCCTCCCCACTCGTCGCACCTCTTACAGCCTCTTGATGTGGGCTGCTTCTCGCCGTTGAAGCGCGCGTATGGTGATGCTATCTCAGTCTTAGCACGCAATCGCATCTATCACATCAGCAAAGAAACCTTCCTACCAGCGTTCAAAACGGCCTATCATAAGGCTATTACACCAGAGAATATCCGCGGAGGGTTTCGAGGTGCTGGGCTTACTCCACACGATTATCACGTTGTTTTATTACAGCTTGACGTCGTGCTGCGTACGCCGACTCCACCAGCGCAAGAGACCACTACCTGGGAGCCGAAAACGCCACGCAACGCGCGCGAAATGGAGGCGCAGGCTACGCTTATTCGAAACCGCATGCAAATCCAGCAAGGGTCTCCTACAACTTCTCTTAAGGAGCAGATGCAGCAGTTAAGTAAGGGAGCTCAGCAGATAGCTCATAATATGGTGCTTATGCACGAGAAACTTGATCGCCTTGAAGCTACGATTAGTGAAGTAACAAAGCGAAAAACTCGTAAGAGGCGCTACGTACAGCCGGAGGGGTCCCAGACAGTTAGCCAGATAGCTAATCAGATAGCTAAGGTAGAGGGTGGTAGCTGTAATGAGGGTGTAACGCCCGCGAAGAGGGTACGCAGTGAACGGCGCTGCGGACGTTGCAGCCAAGTTGGACACAATTCTCGCACGTGCCAAGTAGAATTAGAGGATACAGAGGATAGCGACGTATCTGAAGAATAATATCCTGCTCTACTTAATAAAAATATTATGGTGGTGTTGCGTAGTACTATTACGAAGGTGAGGTACTAGGATTTCGTGGGGCGCACACTGGGGTGGGGCGCACACTGGTGAAACACGTTAAGGTATATATACTATTAGTCTTTTCTATATTCTGATAAGAGGCTATCTATTATTATTATTATTATTATTTTGGTTTTACGTCCTGTCTCAGCCGGTGGGCTATATAAGACGTGCAGGCTAGGCCCGCAAGTATCTACGTAGTGCTATCACTTTGGTGTAGGTGGGGGA